CTTCAATCAATGGTTTCATTTATAACACATAGTATATGTTTCAGTTTGATCTTTCTTTCAAAGCCAGTGGAAAACTCAGCCGTATTATGCCTCATTACTCAGGAATCCTGGTTTGCAGTTTCCCAACATACTTCTTTTCTACCTCCTCAAATATCATCCATCACATTTGGCTCATTAGATCTTCTGGGCAATGGGACGGCAAAGAAAACACATAGAAGTGTCAGTGATCTGTTTAATACTCAGCGTCTTGTCTATTACACAATAAGAATGAGAAGAACTTCTAGAAAATCTGTTTCATGGGAATTAAGCAAACTTAAAAGTGGAATTCCTGAAGCTGAAGCTGAGACACCAATACTTTGGCCACCTCATGAGAAGAGAAGACTCCCTGGAAAAGACCCGGATGTTGGGAAAGATGGAGGGCATAAGGAGAAGGGAACGACAGAGGACAAAACTGCAGGAGGCAGTGGAAGACAGGAGTGCCTGGCGTGCTCTGGTCCATAGGGTCATGAAGAGTCGGACACGACTAAACAACAACAAAAAGTGGAATATTTTCCAATTACACCTCACAGCTAAGCTTGTTTTCTCCTCCAGGCCAGGTGGAAATATTGGGGACTCTACAAAGTAGGAATAGCCCTAGTGCCCCCCCCCATCATCTCCCATCATCTCTGACCATTGTTCGTGTTGGCTCAGGCTGCTGAAATTCAACAGCACCTGGAAGGCCCCAGACTCCCCCTCCTTGTTTTAGACTCCACTAGCTTCTATTGCTCTTCCCTTTGATCTTTTCTCCAGTTCTTTCTAGATTCTGATTCTGCATGTGTTACTGGAATACGATCACAGCATGTCAGTTTTAATAACTAATGAGCTGAATTCTGCTTCCAGTTGAAATTGTTATATCCACCCGGAAATCTGTGAGCAGATTCTTAAGAGATCTTTTGTCAGGTCTATTTATCATCAAAATAATGCGGGGAGTACCTCCATGTAACAAAGGCTCTCCAGGGAAGTGGTTATTCCAGATATGTTCCTCCCAAGAGGTACTTTAATCTTCCATTGATTAATGACTTGCTGCTATAAAAGAAGCAGAAATGCCATTTGACTTGTCTTAAACTGATGTCTCTGCAGGAATAGATAGATGCATTAGAAGCAGACACAGACTCTCCTGGTCTAAGAAATATTGCCATTAGAAATGGGTCATACGAAATTGCAGACCCACCGAGGCCCAGCTGAATGGCCAACAGTTCTTCAGCCTAAAAGGCCATACACCGCAGACTTAAAAGGGTAAAAAGCCGTAACTGATGCCACCTCAGACTCAGTGAACACATCTTAACTCCCTCCCCACAACCCTTGCTTCTCACTTTCCTCCTATTTTCATCAGTGATGTTGCTTCTTTCCTCCCTATCCTATCCAGGCTCGATAATCTTGGGGGGGGGGGGAGTGGGGACGACAATTAAATTTCTCCTTCTGCTGATGCCAACTCTTCTTCTAGACTTCCTTGGTCTTAAACATGTGGCTGTTTCTCTGAGCATGTTCATAACTGAAATTCTCATTCTTCAAGAGAATCATATGTGAACTGTGGCTCATAAGCCCATCATAATCTTCCCTGCCATGGCACAGCAACAGAATCAATGGGGATTTTATTTTACTTTTTATTTCTTTACAAATATGGCGGCATAGGAAGATCCTGCTGGACCACACCAATGGCCCATCTTGTCCAGCATCCTGCTCTTACAGTGGCAGACCAGATGCCTATGAGAAACCTTCAAGCCAGGACCTAAGAGAAACAGCACCTTGCCCCCCTGCCTTTCCAAGCAACTAGCTTTCAGAGGCATGCTGCCTCTGACAGTGGAACACAGGCATCATGGCTAGTAGCCACTGGTAGCCTTTATCTCCATGAATTTTGAAGCCATCCAGGTTGGCAGCCACCACCGTCTCCTTTGTGAGCACATTCCATCGTTTAGCTATGTGCTGCATGAAGAAGTCCTTTCGAATCCTCCAGCATTCAGCTTCATTGGAAGTCCATAAGTTCTAGTCTTAAGGGAGAGGGAGAGAAACTTGTCTCTATCCAGGCATCATTTTATAAACTTCTATAATGTCACTTCTTACTTTTCTTACTGTTTAGGGAAGCTTTTTAATGTTTGACGGACTATTGTATTTTAATATTGTATTGGAAGCCGCCCAGAGTGGCTGGGGGAACCCAGCCAGATGGGTGGGGTATAAATAAATTACTACTACTACTACTACTACTACTACTTCTCTAATCTAAAAAGTGCCAAATAACAAAACTTTTCCTCACAAGGGAGTTGCTCAGGGTGGTTCACAGGATTAAAAAATAAATAAACATGCAGATGCACCATAGATTTGTGTCATGGCATTAGGATATCAGCCATTTTATTTCACATTGAATCGCATTTGCCATTTTACCGCTCATTCACTCAGTGAATGGTCCTTTTGGAGTTCTTCACAATCCGTTTTTTGTTTGTTTTAATGACCCTGAACAACTCAGTATCACCAGAAAACTTGCTCACCTCCCAGCCCACCCCTAACTCTCGATCTTTTATGCACAAGCTTAAAAGCACATAGTGGGGGTAATTACCTTCAGACAGAAATGGCGGGGGTGGGTGGGGAGGAATATAATTTGAAGAAAAAGAAGGTTATCAATAAGCCATGCTTTGGTTTCTGCAGGGCAGTTCACGCCGTTTTTTAAATTTACAGTATAAGCAGCCTGGATACAAACTGAAGTCTGCTGAATGTGGGAAAACAAAGCTTCCGCTCTCCCCATTACCTCTTCCACCCTGAAGACCAAAGCCACAAGAACACTGCCACTTCCTGTCTTGCAAAAACATCTCTTTCAGCTCCTGCCTTAATTATTTTAAGTACAGTGATCGAATGCTGCCTGATAGGAAGTCACCAACAACAAAACAACTGTATCTTAAACATTTGTACTTCAGAAACAAGACAATTTGAAGAGCGCTTTGCAAAAAGCAAAGAGAAAGGGGGCAAAATTTATTTGTCAATATTTCCCCTCTTTAAGGTAATTGTACCCCTGCTCTTTGTGGCTTTAATAGACTTTCTAAGCCTGTTTCAAGAGTTCTTGTAAAGAAAGGCTGAAAAGAAGCAGGTTGATGGCACAAGAAGAGAATCATAAATGCAGCTGGGTTATTTTAAAGGAAGCTACAGTTCAGTTTGTCCATTGCTTCTTTCGTTGGCAGAGCAGGCTAATTAAGGGAAGGTGTTCAGCGCACAGGTTTTATTCAAAACATCCACACTGGCTACATAATGCCTATACTGTATAGTACAAGGGAAATATTTTCCTGAGAAGAGCTGTTGACCCACAGGTAAAGTCGAAGGGGAGGGTGCACAACTGACAGTTGGCTGAGGCTGCATGGTTGTGAAATTGCATAGCTCTCTCTCTCTTTCTGTGCCACCCCATCCCTCCCCTCCCTCTCTCACACACACAAAATGGAAGAAGAAGCAATTCCCAGAGGGTGGTCCATAGAGCAGGAGTGGGCCCACAGTGTCCAGAGAGCTGGAAAATACTGCAGGCCATATGCAATTAATTTAAGGGTCTTTGGGCTGAAGTCACCCCAGTGCACCTTAACTTCACTAAACCACCTGCCCAAGTAATAATATGAGTATTTCAAATCATACAGCTGTAACAATTTCATATCCAACTCCCCCCCCCTTTTGCAGGTCAGGATGATTTTACTTCTTTCTCACATATGGTGGCTGAAGGTGGATGCTCAGCACTTATTGCTAAGAACCTGCCAGAACCCTTTCGAGTGACGTGACAATGTGATTGCACCAAAGACAACCTGATAGTAACTAAAAACACAGAGCGAAGACAGACAGACAGACAGACAGACAGACAGACAGACAGACAGATCTCTGCAGGCTGCAGCTAAGATAGGTGGGGTTGTTTGTGAAATCTCACTGGAAAGTTGTCCTGACTGCCACATGCAGCTAAAAAGAAGGAGAAATCCTATGTCAAACTATTATCATTATCATCATTATTACCACCCTACCTATCTGGCTGGGTTTCCCCAACCACTCTGGGCAGCTTACAGTACTGTACATATAAAAACATAGTAAAAAAGCATAGTAGGTATGCCAGGAAAAGGTTCACAGAACGGTAAAGTTAATTGAACGAAATCACGTTATATGTTAGAAGGAATTAATTCTGTGCCCCATCTACATGTTCAGCACTCTACTCTGGGTATTTCCTTCCCAATAAAGTATTACTTGATTCTGAAAATTGACTCTGGAAAAACACAAAAACCAATACATGCTGGTTAAGATGTGTTTTAGGATATGTTGAAACACTAGCAAAACCAGTCACTGACTCATATTTCAAGGGAAATGGCAAGAGAGAAATGAAACAGTTAAAATGAAACCAGCACATCTGAATCACTTTATTTGCAAACCTAAATATCAATGGTACAGCCAGCAGCATCTAATCACCACACAGAACCTCCCCTTCTTCAGCAGCAAAATTATCCAAGGACTTTTGTAAAGCTCCAAATCAAATATGCCATTAATTCCTCCCTCCATGCCTTTTGCTGTTTTCCTTAGCAGGGATAAATAGGAGACTCTTCCAAGTTTCCCAAAATAATGTATGTGCTTTGAGGGTGTGTGTGTGTGTGTGTCTATGTTGGCTTCTATTGGGAAAAGAGCAAAGATGAACCATGTGGGGAGATCTTCTTATATATGAGACATAAAATCATGCAGCTTAGAGGTCAAATTAAAAAACAAAAACATACTTTATATTGAGCAACGTTCCTAAACACTGATCCAAAGAACACTCTGAGTTTATAGCTGTTATATGAGACACAGCCAAATCCTGTTACTGCCCTGAAATGATGGGGACAAAATTGTACCTACCAAAATTTTCATCAACCATGAACTTGAGTAGCAATAAAAACTTCCGGAAATGTAAGAAATTATCTCTAAATTATTTCAATTTGTTATCCAGTTAGCACTATGCTTGAAATCAGACACTCTCTTACCTTTGCCTTCTCGGTACTCTGTTCCCGTTTTCCAACATGGTTCCCCATGGTGCTCCTCAAGTTTCTTCCAGAACTACAGATAAAAACAGTGGGGGAAAAGTTACGTTATTCCAAAATCAGCCAGTCAACTATAGTCTCTTTAACTCTACGTACGCTAAGGAAGGGGTACCCCATGTGGTACCCTCCAGATGCTGCTGAACTCCAATTCCCATTAGTCTGAACCAGCATGGCCAAACGTCAGGGATGATGGGAGTTGTAGTCCAACAACATATGCAGAGCACCACATTGACTACTTCTGCACTACTGACCAGAGGGGCTGGGCCTACAATTTGTTTGTGCCAGTTTTGTGGATATCCATGTCCTCCTTTTTGGGGTGATGCAACCTGTGATTCTGCAGAATGCTGTTGGAATCATACTCCCATCAGCCTCAGTCAGCATGACCAATGATCAGGCATGGTAGGGGCAATATCCAGACTACAGGGTTCACTGTGTGGCAGGTTTAGCACAATGCATAGAAAGTTCTTGATTGTTTTAAGCTGTTGGCACACTGACTCACTCAGAAGCCTGATCCTAAACAGCTGTAGGAGTGAATTGTTATACATCAAATATTAAGTCTGTGCATGCTATCAAGCTACAAATTACCCGGAAGCATTAGTGAATTCTCCAAATCCAAGTCATCCTCAAAATCTGCCTGCTAAATGCTAGCGTGGTTGATTAATATAATTTACCCAGTAATAAGCCACAAACCACTTCTGGGAGTTGGCAGGCAAGAAGAAATAAAAGATCAATCAACAACAGTTAACTCCTATTCTTTATAGTATACAGAAACACTATTAAAACATCAATATCTTGAAAGCAAGTTGGCTGTGCATGAAGAATCGTGCCGGCTCTGCTGACATTTAACTACTTCCAGTAAGATTTTTAAAGGCTGTGCTCCCCACAGTGACCAAAAAAGAATGCTGATTCTCTGAAGTGGAACAGAAACCAGAGAGAATCCAGAGGAAAAAGTCAGTTGGCACGTCTTTCCGAGTGGGTGAGAGGGAAGCAGGGATAGAAAGGTATGCCACTTGGAAAGACAGGGAGAACAAAACAGGCTGCAAACACAATGCAAGCAGAACCCAATGTTTGTTCTTACAGTGGGAGAATCCACTGAAATCACATGAGTAAAATTGACACGATTCTTGTACTGCCAACTTCTTTCAGATTGGTGATATTTTAATAGCACTTCTGTATGCTATAAGAGTGAGAGTTAACCGCTCTTTATTGATCCTTATTTCATATTGTCTGCCAACTTCTAGAAGAGATTCCCCCCACCACCAATTTGTGCAATTTGAGCAACAGCATTTAGGTTTTGCTACAGCTTAGTAGTTAACTCTGTGAGCCCAGAAGATTCTGGTTCACATCTCAGGTAACCAGTTGGCCTTCAACAAGCTAAACTACCTTAACCAGTATGGTGTAGTGGTTAGAGTGTCATACCAGGACCTGGGAGACCAGGGTCCAATTCCCCCCTCAGTCATGAATCTTACTAGGTGACCATGGGCCAGTCATTGCCTCTCAACCTAACCCACATCAGAGGGTTTCTTGTAGGGATTAAATGAGGAAGGGGAGAACCGCCTTGAGCTTACACCACCTTGAGCTCCTTGGAGAAAAAAGTAGGATGTAAATGCAATTAAAATAATATAAACCCACATTGATTTATATGATAATAATTATATTGGCCTTCCTTAATACTGCCTCTGGATTAATGGTTACTGAGATCATGTAAATCAGAGGTAGCTAAGATAGTGCACTTTAGATGCTGTAGGACTGCAAACACTCATCATTTCTGAACATTGGTTGGCCATTGTGGCTGGCTATTCCTAAGAAATGTACAGTGGTACCTCAGGTTAAGTACTTAATTCATTCTGGAGGTCCATTCTTAAACTGAAACTGTTCTTAACCTGAAGCACCACGTTAGCTAATGGGGCCTCCTGCTACCGCCGTGCCACCAGAGCATGATTTCTGTTCTCATCCTGAAGCAAAGTTCTTAACCCGAGGTAATATTTCTGGGTTAGCGGAGTCTGTAACCTGAAGCGTATGTAACCCGAGGTACCACTGTATTCCACTTTATGACATTAACTGCAGAGGCGCTGTACATATGCTGTATATATGCTGGCGTGCTCTGGTCCATGGGGTCACAAAGAGTTGGACATGACTAATCGACTAAACAACAACAACATATGCCTGTTTTCCCCAACAGTTTACAGAAGAATGACTGTTGCTGTACACAGGTATAAACAGAAGAGACGCGAAAGATATTTCTGAAGTATGTTCCCGCTTGGCCTGTTTGAAACCAGTTTGACCAGCCTGGACGTGCTCAGTTCATTGCACAAGACAGCCATAGCCACAGGAATGGTGGCAGACCCTACCATGAAGCTAGCATGAAAGAAACATCTTTCCCAAAAAGTATTTATTAAACTTATTAATCGCTTGTCACCTGACAATATGTTACCATATGTGTATGTGGTTGCGTGTTTGTGTGTGATATACAGTGGTACCTTGGTTCTCAAATGCCTTGGTACTCAAACAACTTGGAACCCAAACACTGCAAACCCGGAAGTAAGTGTTCCGGTTTGCGAACTTTTATTGGAAGCCAAACGTGCTCTACCAGGGAACACTGGTAGAGGAAGAGGAGTGTGGGGGGAGCGCACCGCCCCCGGCAGTGCGATCGCAGCAGGGTGCCATCGCGACTGCTCCCCAGCCTGTGCTCGGTGCCATGCCCCTGCAGGCGGCACGCCCTGCCCCCAGGAAGCACGCCAGCCCTGCCCCCACCTGCTGTCTGTCCCCCGGTGCCAGAGCATGAAGCTCTGCCACTGCCTGGGAAGAAGCCCAACTGAACTCAGTGGAACTTACCTCCGAGTAAACATGCATAGGATTGGTACATAAATTGTCACCCTTCAGTTCCTTAGGATTTGGGAGTCAGAGTTTGTAAGAGAGCTAGATTTCAACAAGGAAGATTTGATTTCAAAGCCCCATTCGGCCATGAAGCAAATGGAATAGAGTTAGACAGGTCTATCTCCAGTCTATTCTTATATTGCAGAATTATTGCAAGGATTAACAGGAGAACCCCATGTATGCCACTTGGAAGGAAAGCTCAGGTATAAACACAATTATTTAATAAATGGCACTAAATTTACAAAATTAAAGGATACTGTACTTTTAAACAAAACACTAATTAATAGTAATTAATTGATTGATTAGTACAGTGATGCCCATCCACTGTTAAACAGAACAAAATTATGATACAGAAACCTTCACAAAAGATTTTTTTAATGGAGAGATTTAACTACGTTGCACTGCAAAGGCAGAGGAAACCTTAGTGATTTATAGGCCATCCAGAAATGAAATGGAAGCCAATGCAGATTACCCAAAACTGGAGCAATACACTCCACAAAGCAGGATCTGGAGCTTTTACACCAGTTGTAAAATCCCACTGAGACTACACTGCAGTAACCCAACTTGGGCCTAACTGTTGCTAAGTACTTGCTAATTTAACACGGCACTAATTAAAAAGAAGTATTTCTGAAGCCATCCTTCACAATACTAATGTTTAATCTGAAGAAGTGATATAGTTTCTCTTCTCACTGTATCCAATTATTTTTGTTGTTCAGAAGATCTATGAAACTTGAAATTCATTGAGATTTTTGATGTACAAAAGGAAGTCCTTCTTTGTGCAGTGCATAGGTAACAATTTGCCGCCGTAGGGTGTGGCCACAGCCACCTAATCTTGAATGGTTGTTAGGGGGAAAAATGTGGATGATAAGACCATTGATGGCTGCTAGTCCTGATGGCTATATGCTACATTCAGGTTCAGAGATTATATGTGGGTGGGGCATTTCTAATGCATTTCCTCTTGGTTTAAATGTTTCCATGTGAGGTTGTTGTTGTTTTTAATCTGCTTGTTGCAAGTTGCTTAGGGTTGCCCTAGACATGATAAAATGACTAACATTTTTTTTTTTAAAAAAAGTTTTTTGTGTATGCAGGGCCGTCTTACCCATATGCGCTAGGGGTATGGGGCACCCAGGCACTGGGCTGTCAGGGGCACCAGGCCGAGAGTCCGGGCCCGAGAGTTGAGTCTGGGGAAGAGCCCGCCCATTGGTTAGAGCACTGCGGTGGGCTCTTCTGCTGTAGGTGGATCTGCGCCGCGAGTTTGGGGGCGACCGAGCCAGTGAGACGCTGAGGCGGCCGGCAGGCTCTGCCCTCCTGTGTGCCTGGGACAGGGCAATCTGGGGGTGGGGATCTTTGCACCCCAGCACCGCATATGCTTAAGACAGCCCTGTGTTTGTTTGATCCAGAAGCACTTTCTTAAATGCTTAGTTTGCTCTTTATGGCTAAGGCCGCAATTCTATGTACCCTTAGCTGGAAGTCAGTCTCATGGGATTCAATGGAACTCAAAGTCTCAGCAGACAAGTATAGGATTAGCACAGTACAATGCAATTTCAGCCTAGAACCATCCCCATATTTGGGGATGCAAAGATGCGCTTTCATAATTGAATTTTTTTCATGCTTGTCTTGGAAAATATCCAGTCTTTAATTACTTGTTATAAACACTGTCCATTCATCAATTAGCCAAGTCTATCTTTATTAGTTACTCATCTATGAGCTGGTAGGCAATTAAAATGTTTTTTAAAGATGTTTTCTCATAGTGCTATCACATGGCAGCATATGATATTTCTCATGGAATAATAATTACACGGAATGGTATTTTTTAATTGGCTTTTACAAAAAAAAGAAAAAAGAAGAAGTGTGAGTAGAACTAACCACACGAGTTCCTGTTTGCCGCACTGCATGAAAACATTTAATTGCCTGGTGTCTATGCAAAGTCACACCTCCTTGGTGCACTTCCTTTTTCAGAGTGTGATTCAGACAAACCACTTCATTCCATCTGCCTGATGCTAAAATCATGTGGAACAAGATGTTTTGATGGAAGCCTTTGAAATACAAAATGTAGATCTTTCTCAAATGTGCATTTAACCTATGAATATATAAAGCCTCTGAGGAAAAGTGTGAAGAGTCTCCTGTATTAATTAAGCG